CCTATCTTCAATGAAATCAAAAGTCCTATCTTCAATGAAATCATCTAAATATCCTATAGTTAATGTCGATTGCTAAGCATTATTTAACAAACAATTTGACAATCCGTATTATCCAGCTAATTAAGCAACTTCATTGCCGCACGTCTTCACATTGATGCTTTGACTTTCATTAGGCTAAATAGATCTAAGAATAAGTCTTCTTTGTCCTCGATATATACAAACTCTGTAATCGGTATATAGAAAACTGTTTAATGTTTGAAAAGGAAAAAGAAAAAAAAATGAAGCTGACCTGTTTTTGGATCTGGACTTCTATAAGACCTTAGGATATGATGAAATTTGAACTCGCGTAGTTCGAGATGTAAAGCATAAAAGTATCTGAGTTCGAATTTAACTGATACTTCAATTATTATTACTAGTTGCTAAAGGAAAGGATGATCACGCAAAACTCGACAATAATACAAAATTAATTGGGGCCCTAATAATAACTACCTCATTATTGATATAAAATAGTAAAATGTACGAAGACTATTTAATGCTATTGCGTAACCTTATAAAAATAAAGTAAAAAAATGACCAAACAAGAAGTATAAAATATACACGACTTCGGCGATGTTTGACAATAAATAATTTTTAGTAAGCTCCTTCACGCGGTTTCTTATATTTTAATCTTCACAAGTGGATATTGCCAATAAATTAACATTTTGAATTAAACATAAAAAAGTGAAAACTTACTATATGAGTACAAAGGGCTGCGACTGAGAATAATGAGTTGAGTGGATTGAAATAAAAACGAATGGAATACAAACGAGAGAAATAGTTCTTCTACTCATTTTTCTATTACTTAGTGAAAGAATTATTTTCAATTTTTTTTTGTTTCTAACGCTAGTTTGAGAAAAAAAAATCAAAAAAATGATGGTAAGTAGTAACTTTTTTAGAAGAATATAGAGTAACAATTTCCTCTTTTTTTTGGTCGAAGTAACGATTTCTTCAGAAATGTTTCCGAAACCTTAA